AATGTGCATCCATTTAGCTATAAATGTCTCCAATTTCTCATTTTTTATGGCTGGGTAGTACTCCATTTTATAAAAAAAAACACATTTTCTTTATCGAGTCTCCAGTTGATGGGCATTTGGGCTGTTTCCAAGTTTTAGCTATCACAAACTGTGCTGCTATGAACATGGGTGCACATGTATCACTGTGGTATGATTCTAAAAGCAATTTTTGAATGTACAGTTATTGCTCATTGTTCATGGGGAATTTGTTCCAAGACTTCCTGTGAATACTAAATCCAAAAATACAGATTTGAGTATTTAGACCTGGTCTAAATACAGGTCCCTTATGTAAAATGATGTAGCATTTATATATTACCTACACAATCTTCTTTCTTTGTTTCTTTTCTGGAGACAGGGTCTCAGTGAGAACTTCAGGCTGGCCTTGAACTAACAGCAATCCTTCAGCCTTAGCCTCCCAAGTGCCGGGATTCCACACCTGGCTGTCCTCTGATATACTTAAGTCATCACTAGATTACTTATAATACCTAATAGCATGCATCTAAATGCTATGTAAATTGTTATAATGTATGTTTCGGGGGAAAAGACAAGGGAAAGAAGTAGACATGTGTTCAGTACAGGTGTAAGTGTTGTATGCCTAACTATGTAACGATATAGTCAATACAGGAGACATGTGGAGAGCAGTGCTTGGCAACAGGCACTAGAGAGAAACTGAGAGGAAGTTCTAGCTGGCTGTGCAGACAGAGCTTCACCTGCACAGATTCCTGTACAAGGTACAGGCACAGTGTATGTCAATTCAAGTTTTGTTTATTGGATTTTTCTGGAAATCTTTCTTGATTTTCTGAAAATATTTTGACCCATGGCTAAGTAGGCTAAATAATGCTCTGTAAAGTAGCATTTCAATCTATTGAGATAGAGGTGGAGGTATTCTGGCTTAACAAGGAGCTCTTCAGGGAAGCATATGCTGATTTTGTGTGTGCAAATAACCACGTGACAGATTTTAAGCTGCCAGTGGGAACACACAGACTTGGGAAAAGATACACAGTGCACATGCTCATACATTACACAGGTAAAAGAGACATAAACAACCTCACAGACATAGATGATGGTACAATATATGTAAAATAATGATGTTTGAGTACTATATTTCATTTTAAGCTTAAATTTAATTTAATATTTTTGTTTAATAATGGCTATTATATAACAGCCCACAAAGAGTCTGAGAATTTAACAAGACACTTTCAGGAACACACCTGAGTCAGCTACAGCACACTGGTATCTGTAGGTAGGTTCTTCCCTAAAGCCACTCGCCTATGAGCAGTATTTTATTGAATAGTATATTCCAGTGTTTGCACATTATAAAACCTTAATTACTAATTTTAAATGAACTGTGGTATATTTTTAAAAGACTGATTGCTTGAGATATTTAAAATATGTATTTATTCAGAAACTATTTATTGAATGCACACAATTTGCCAGATACTCTGTTAAACTAAGATAGGAAGAAAAACATCATATGGGTTAATAGTGATCACTAAATCTTTTGAAACAACTGCTCAAGGAAGTATGATTAATTCTTTGTGAGTGCCTTTTAGATCCTTTGCCTACATTGTAGCTAATCAAGAGAATGACCAAGAAGCGCTAATATACAGTACCTTCAATTTTTACTTTTATTTATCTTCACCAGAGGGGAAGAAACAGTAAGTGCTGGTTTATTTTCCTTCCATTTTTTGGTTCCCCTTCTCTGTTGCTCAGCACAAGGAGCCCTAACACAAACAGCCCAAGTGGCAGGGGTCAGAGGCACTGTCACACCTGGAGTGGGAAAGGCCAGCAGGTGTGGAAGCCCAGGAGATCCACACATCTAACTCAGTTCATGCAAACTCCCTGGGAGGCTGGTCCTGCCACTCTCCCATTTTATGAGTGTTGTAGCCCCAATCCTAAGACCTTAGCCGTCTTTCTCAGGGTTAATTCTTTAGTGCAGATTAGAGCTGGTAAAGCTCTTACCTTTTTCTTACTCTTAACACAAGAATGTCTTGCTGCTGTTGCTGAAGTATGACAGTGGTCTGGAGAATCTTTTGAAAGCCAGGAATGAGAGGGAGCTAGCATAGTATATTGAAATCTACTTTCCAAATAAAATTTCCTTGAGAGTTTCTTTTTTCTCCTCTTTTAAACATAACAGGAGGTTGAATCATGGCATCATCTCAAAGTTGGAGTGCAGGTAACCACAGATTTGAAATTCTCTTGAAAGGGCCAAATGGAAAGTCAACCCTAACAAGATTTTCTTCATATTATTTTTGTTTTACTTTTAATTTTATGTAAATATTTATATTACTGAAGTGAGCCATAATTATTATTTAATTCTTGATGCAAGAATCATACTACCACATATGTAGCATAAAGTACAAGAAAAATATTACTTCTAGGATTCCATACTCGGCCTAGAAAATAGGACTGCAGTCTCGTTCTGTTACAGGGAAGGGAGATGCTTCTAAGAGTTAGGACTCTAGAAAGCCAGACTCATTTTTCAAAGAGCCTGTTAAAAAGAAACATGAGATATTTAAGAACAAAAGATGGAAAAAAAGGAAGTAAGACTTTTTTTTAATCAGTTTATCATCTGGAAATATGTGCTTGGTAGAACCATATCCACCATGACTCAAACTCTACTGAAATAAAACACAAAGGAAAGTTCAATAAAGGAAACAATCAAGCCCCCAAAACATCATATTGCCTCAGATTTACATTTTGATAACACTGAGAAAACTTTCAACTGCTTGAGGAATATAGTCCCAACGAATCCCTGAGAAAACAAACATTATGGGACAAGAAAACTTTCAGAGAAAAATGGAGAACAGAAACTAGAGCTAAAATAACAGTTATGGAATGATTGCCCAATCAGTTTTTTTTTTTAAGAGGAGAGGTAGAAACCCACTTATATGGAAAGGCCTGCCCTTCTCAAGATTGTGTGCAGTGTGGTCATTTACACAGTGAGCTGTGGCAAGGTGTTAGAGAATGCAGGGAGTCCCAAATAGGGACAGAGGGCTGGAGAAGCAGGTCACCACGCAGAGCCAAATAGTGGCCAACTGGCCACTAGGTATGGCTGTCTGCTCTGTCGTCCCAAAGAACCTGCACTGGCCGAGCCCGGATGAGGCCCTGAGTGTTCGTTTCAGAGCTGACTGAGGACGTTCTGCCCAAGAAGGAGGAGGCTTTGTGTTGTAGAGCCAAGAAAAGGAAAAGTAAGGATGATTAAATATACAGAAGTGATTTTAAGTCTGAAATAGAATTCAGTGCTGGGGGGAAAATCAAGCATCTTTAGAAATGACTTATTAAAAATCAATTGATTCTCATTCTTTATACATTTTTTTCCTTTCCAAGGGGCAAACAGACTGTTAAGGTTGTCTGAGAACAGCTGGAGCCTCTGTGAACTGAGCAGCTATTTCTGTGCATTTAAAAGGGTTGAACCCAGTAATTTTCTGTGATTTTTAATTCTGGATAAATGCATGAATGTTTAGTCCAGCACAGTCAATAATACAGGGTAATGATAATAAAAGTAAGGATGATTTAAAACACTGAAGCAATTTTAAGTTCCAAATGGAATTCAATGCCAGAGAAAAGAGTGTGTGTAGCGTGTTGTAGCATTCAATTCCCTCCCTCCTATGGGACAATAGAGGACACTGTGCTCCTGCAACTCATGGTAAGGAGACCAAGCCTCCCAGTGCCCTGTTGGCACTCTCAGTCACACAGTAGTAAGTGAGGAGGTGGTTCATCTCCAGGTCTAGACACACAGCATCGCCTTTCCTGCCAGTGAGCAGACTTGCTGAGATGACACAGGAAGGCTCCTTCTCAGTACTTGGGTAGTGAATTTTGGTGTAGTGGGATGAATTACATCAACTGAACTATATTACCTGAGTTGTATTAACTGACAGTTTTTTCAAACTATTAAAAAATGGTGCTGCATTGTGGGATAGCTTGTAGGATGATGATTTTTTTCTTATAGTCCCTGATTATAAATGGTACACCTGGAGGATTGTGTAATTATCTCCTTATTAAGATAAATTATTTGCAGATTGAAAACTATAATGTGCATAATCCTCATTTGTGTTAAATTTCACTTGAAGTGAAATTATACACTAAGAATTGGAAATCTCTTGAAATTCAAGAGAAGAACGTCTTGATGAAAGGGAAAATGCAATATGTGATCACTAACCAAAAGCATATATCTGAAGAATTTTTCTCCCATGAAAGTCTCCAAACAAAATGTTGATGGAGAAAAACCATTTATATTATATAATCCCAATTTTTATTTTAAAAAATGCATAGCTTCAGATCTGTTGGAATCCATAACATATGAGTAGTGCAGATTCTTTTCCTCTGAGATGAGGCCTGGATGGGTAATTTGGGGAAGTCCACTAGCAGGTGGATATGCTGTGGAGTGACCTGCTGGCCTTGATGCCCAAGCCTACCCCTCACCTGTGCCTTTAGATACCTCTGCCCTTGCTATTTATATATCAAATGAGGTCTGTATTTATGTCTCACTCCCAGGTCATTGTCAAAATTAAAGTGATGATGTGAATATACAACAAACATCATGGTCATTGTACAAAATAATTCCTCAAATACTGAAGCTGTTAATTGTGTTTCCTTCTTTTATATTTTCCTGAATTATTTAATTTTCTAAAGGAGTTTGTTTCCTAATAATACCAGAGAAAGAAAAGCACAAAAGTATTGGAAGACATGTTAGCATTAATTCAATTAGAACTTCTAACCAGTGACTTGGTGGAAGAAGGGATGGTAAGTAAACTGCTGCTAGTTCACCACATTTTCATCTATTTCAGCTCAAGCAATAGTGCAGTGAGATAAGGTTCCCACCACTTTCATAAGTGAGGCCTAGGTTCTCACTAGAAGTTAACATCGAGAAATGAAATTCTAACTTATGACTTACTGGTCCCTAAGCCATATGTTTTCTAATATCATGACTTTTTTTTTTTATGTTGCCTTCCTCAAAGGAGTGTTTCCTATCCCTAGTGACCCAACCTTTCCAAGTGGCTGATCGAGGAGAAAAAAGGAAAAATGAGGAGGAAGAGGAGGAGGAGGAGGAGGAGGAGAAAAACCCTATGAAACCATTGGCAAAGGAGGAAAGTATGCAAAGGAGGCATAATTGAAACTGGAAAAAAGGTCAGAGCATCCTGGGCCAGGCAGCACAGGGAGGTGGAAATTGCATTAGGCCCTGAGGGATCAATATTAATAATATAGGTTAAAGGGATATGCCCATAAAGGCATTTGACTAAAAAGGCAATAAAGTGGCAGCATTTCCTGCCCTTCAAGTCTCTAAGGGTTGTTTTTAATGAGTGGAAAAAAATTTTAAATGTTCTACAGTTTTGCCACTACACTTTCTTTCTTGTGCTGCCACACTTCCCATGACTTTTATTATGGCATTAAAATATTTCCCAGGCATTATCGCCACTTCTACCCTGTGACAGAATTTTAAAGGGGACCAGTGGTGAAGTGAATAAGCAAACAGTGGAGTGAAGACCATCTGAGAATGCAGCTCCGGGACCTCCCACCCACGACGTGCTCCACCTCTCACCATACCCAAAGGCCTGGACAGAAAGCCCCACAGGATTCTCTTCCCCAAGGAAATAGTTTCCAGTCCTGTCTTGCATAAAATTTCCTGTTGAAAGGAATGGTTCAGAGTCATTCACATCACATTTGTAGCTTTTTGTGCAGCTGAGAGGCTGTTTCAATTATACAATGGAGGCAATTTAGGAAAGCCAAAGGAAATGTGGATGCCACTGGATACAGGACAAAGATTTTCACAGGTTCTCATTGATTTTTTTTTGGTACCGGGGAACGAACTTGGGTCCTTGCGCTTGCGCAGCAGGCGGTGAAACCACTGAACTAAATCCCCGGCCCAGGTTCTCATTGATTTTGAGATACTGATTCTCTGCTCAGTTCTCTTAAGAAGGTGTGAATTTGCTGGAGACATATTTGAAGGGAAAGTGATGTGGAATAGTCTCTAGAGGACCTCGAAGATTCTTTTGATATTAAGACTTTAAAATGATAAATCTCCTTTTGCACGTGCCTAGTATATGCGAGATTTTCAGTATTTATTTAACAGATTATTATTAGCCACCTACTCTGCAAGCATCAAGGATATCGTGTAGAATGAAATAGGCACTCTCTACCTTTGATGGTTCCTAGTCTAGAAGGAAGGCAATCAACCAAATATAATCAAGTCTGTCTTAGGTGCCACAATGCAGGACTACTGTATGGTGTTGAAGAACACTTGGAAGGGATTCGGGCTATTCAGCAAAATCAGAGAAGATCCACAGGAAGTGCTGACTGAGCTAAGATGTGAGGAAGGGGCAAGTATTATATGGATGATACAGTGAAGGAAGGAGGCAGGAATGCAGGACAAGCTTCCTGGTAGGTCTATGTGGTGATGGCAGAAGAATCCAAGATGAGGCTTGGAGCAGAAGTTGCCGAGGAGGTCAGGGGACAGGTTCCACAGACTTTGCTATAGTCCACGATTAGATATTCTCATCCTACTCTGCAGATTACTTAATATCCTCACTTTACAGAATAAGAAAAGAAATCTCAGAAGGTTGAGGAACTGGTCCAAAATCAAAGAACTAGTAGGTACCGAGGTGAGGCTAGTACAAGATTTATCTACTTCAGAACGTGGATTTTTCAGCCCATCCTCCTAGTGACTGGCAATCCTACACTGGCCCCTGCCTTAGTGCATGCTACCTCTGCTTGGCTTGTTAAGGACAACCTCATGCTCTGATTTGGGGTTCTAACTCACCAAACCATACTCTGCTATGATAAGTGTCCGCTTCACCTGTCCAATTTGAGTCCATGTTTCGGATAATGCTAACTTTTCAGTTATCCAACCAGAGCCATCAATATTGAGAGCTCTCTTGGGTGACTATGATAACACCCTTCCAGAAATAAAACAGCTAGCTACATTGTTTCACTCACATAAGACATTTATTCTTGTTCTTTGAGCAGGAGTAGCAACCTTGGTTGTTTCTTGTGTTCTTCATTGTAACCTCAGTGAGTCACTCAGTGAGGTAGAGATATATTATTACTTCCTTTTTATAAGCTAGGAAATTGAGGATTACCAAGTGGAAGCAACTTGCCTGAGGTCACCCAGTTTATGAATGATGAGATGAGGTTTGAATCCAGGAGACGCATTTGAATCCAAAGCCAAGCTTTTGACTTGCTCTTTCAAAAATTCAACTTTAGGAGGAAAATTGGTGTTTTAAGAAAATCAGTAAATAGGAAAATCCCTAAACTGGTTACATGCCAGTATGTACTAGAATTCAACAATAATTACATTGTTAAAGACGGAAGAACTTGTCATAAAAAGATTCCCTGAAGCTTTGACACCAATTACAGATGCTTTAGGAAATCACTGTGATTTCCTAACTTAAGAAATCGAGTTTATTATGCAGGATGGTTCTTTTAACAGAAATGGCTCAGACCCAAATATGAAAGATACATACATTTTGACAATGTGTGTGCAAGTGTCTGGGGGTGGGCATGGTAGGTGGAAAGGGAAAGAGTAAGGAAATTATTCTAATTTGGTGAGCTTTTAAAAATGGCAAGTTTGTTGCAAAGTTCACATGGCCAGGCAGAGGTGAGGAGGAGGGGGTAGAGCGGATTGCTGAGTTAGATAAGCCACAGTGTGAGGGGCTGTCTTTGCGGAGCTGTACTTCTTCTTTTGTAAAGAAGGAAGCTTTCTTTCATGGTGCATTTATGTCAAAATTTTAAAATCTCTCACATGAGACCATCATATCAACCTTGTCAGGTCTCACTTGTGGGAATGAGTGGGATTTGAAAACTTCTGAGTGTGCTATTACACTTTCCATATCTGTGTGGGGAATGTGACTGCATGGAAATGTGACCGAGAGTCACAGGGGGTGGGGTCTGAGGGGTGCAGCTTCAAACTAATGAACCAAGTGGGTTGCTTCAGGTGGGGCAAGGACTTTGGGAAGAAAATATATTTTATTTTTTACACTTTTTACTTGTATCACCTTAATGAAACTGTGTGACATCAAATGCCAGAATTTAAGTCAATTGTTTCTTTGATTTCAAGGTATACAACTTAACAGTAATCCATTTTTCCTCACTGAAATGAAATAAAGATAGATCTTGGGCCTTTTCAGTTTTAGAACTCATCAAGAGACAAAGAAGCATCATGTAAACATCAGATATTTTCATTAAGGTTTGTCAACTTCCAGAGAAAATTTGACATTTGTCGCAGGCTTGAGTAAATGTAACCATAAATCCAACCATAGTTGTGTTTTAAAGTTAACCCCAGCTCTGTATAATAAAGGGTGCCAGGCAAGGAAGCGGCCTAGATGTTTTTTTTAGATGCAGGAATTGTTCATTTGTTGTATAAAATTAACATGACTGTCAAGTTTTACTTCAATAATTCTTAACGTTTTTATTCCTATAAGTGAACATCTTTCAGGTTTACCAAGAAGCTTCCTGTTTTCTTTTTAATTTAATTTGTTGAATGCTTCTTGTGTAAATAAACAGCAAATTTCCTATCCTTGGCAAACTAAGTGATTTCCTCTAGTCACCAGTAGAGGGAGCTGTTGGCATTTGGTTTGGTATTACTACTCGACCTGGAAGTTCCCTTTTTAATTAATTCAATGTTTGAAATCAAACCACCGTTTAAATGTAATGATATTAATATGCAAGGATAGATGTGTAAACGTGGAGATTTTCCATTCCTATTAAACTTTCTACAGAACCACAGGTTTCTGGTTCTTCTGTGGGCCCCTTTTAGAGAGCTTATGTTATAGCAATACAGGCTGCTATAAATTAAAGCTGCTCAGAATTGAGTTCATGTACCTAGGCAATGATTCAACATTTCTGAGACTGATTACAAGTCAAGAAAGAAAGCAGCTTCTTCCCTCAGCTCTTAAGAAAAAAGGATAGGCAAGAAAAGAAGAAAGCAAAAACGATGTTTGGCCTCAAGTGATACTTGAAGTTTTGGAAAGAAAAATTATAAATTCAAGATTTATAGTAATAAGAGTATCTTTAATCTGGGGGAAGAATTCTCTGTAGTTAAGGTTCTGGGCATATTTGATGCTGTCCTTAAGATAAAATATAGCACATTGATTTTTCTTATATTCCTTCTAACCTGTAGCCATGAGTTTTAAATGATTTATTTCACAGCGTATTAATTGAAACATATTTTTACCATTTGTACTTAGATTTTAGTTAACATAGACCCCTAAGTGACAATTTCCAAGTACTTCACTCAAGTATTTTCTGTATCTAACAGAGAGTAATTTGTAATGTACAAACTAACCGCAGTGGTTACAATCCGCAGACATCTAGCAGAGAGGTGAGGGGTCATTGTGATGTTCAGGACCTCTGCTGAATGGCCTCTGAGAACCACTGTCCCACTCCCTGGGTAAGGAAGGCTGCATAGAGTTGGGATCAATCACTCCGGTTCATCTAATGTCTTGTTCCTGAAATGAACATAGAAATAAACTATTAAATTTTTAAACCAATGACATTATAGACATTTTACCAAACTTAAAACAGAAAATTACTTGAAAGGATAATGAAGAAAGCAATTTTCTGTTTGATATGGATTCACAAATGGTCATGAAACACATCACCCAGAGTCTGCCAATAGTTCTAGGAAGATTTCTTCATTAGGTTACACTGAAAGCATAACAGAGAGAGGGGTAATTGTGCATGCATGTAAAGAAGTGCCACTTTCTGGGTATAGGATGATGCAGTGAGATATGCAAAGTAAATGATACACCAAAGACATTTTCCATGTTCCCATGTGTGCTTCTTGGGAGAAGAGAGAGGAAGAGGAGGGAGGATCCCCCTCCCTGAATGTGGACAATGTTCTCTGCTGTTTCCATGTACGTAGTGTTTATTTTCTCAAACCACATAAGCTCTTTAAGGCTTGGTCTACGTTTTGTGTTGATTTCTGGGTCTTCCAATTGAGATTAATTTTGCTGCTCTTTCTGAGAGATTTGGAAGGACAAGATGAACAACTCTTGGAGGGAGAGTTGGAAGGCAGGGAATAAAAGTGCTGCATTGTACTTCTTGAGTGATTTAGATAGCTGGGACAAAAAAGCCATGCAGTATTACAAGTAGAATTTCAGGTGAAATTTTGTTGCATGTGAAGCATTAATTTTAATAGAGACTTATATATAAGCTCTCATTTGAATAATAATGCAAAATTAAATTTAAATTGTAAATAATGTCCATATACTAGTTGTTTCCTGGCTCAAATTCTTTAGCACATATGGTGCTAGCATAAGCTTGTGCCTGTCTGCCTACTCTGGGTAATTTTGCATGCAAATAGTTTTAGTGCCTATGTTGAGGTGCTAAAACGTGTTTAGTACACTTGAAAATATTTGCATTGCAAAAGGAGAGTGAATCTCCTGAGGAAAATCAAATTGATATTTTGTATTAAGAGACCACTTTGGGCACTGTGTGACATTCTTGTATGGAGAATTCTGTTTATGGTACAACCAGCATTTTTAATTGACCTTTGAAAAAGAAGGTCTGGCTACAGCTTTGCCAGGTTCTTGAGCAGTTGGACCATCTTCTGGCCGCATTCACCACATTAATCAGTAGGAGAGAGAAGGATAAGGTGAAGGGAAGAATCTAGTTGCCTTGGCTGGACTGTAGCTTTTTAAGCCTCAATTTGGTGGACTGGTGAGATAAATATGCTGATTATAATGAAAAGTTTCAGCTGGAATGTGCCTAACTAATTAGCTAACTAACTAACCATCTAACTCAGGCAGGCCTTTGGTAGAGAGGAGCAGCCGTGGATGCGGGGTGCGAGGCCCCACACGCTTCCATTTGCCTCATTCCCATCTGCTGCATTTACGGGAACCAGTTCGTTAAGAGTCTGAACTGAATCCAAATAAAATGCATTTCTGATGCAAGACCGATGACTGGTGCCATTCTACGCTGCATTATGTCAAATTAGAGTTTGGTTGGAAAAGAGGTTACAGAGATCCTACGCAAATGTCGCTTACACGGAACACTGATCGAATAAGAGTTCAGCACAAATTCAACATCCAATTTCTATAAACAAATAAAAGCCCTGATTTGGCCCCTGTTCACCAAGACTGATTCAAAAAATTAGAACTGCTAATAAGTAATAAATACCATTCAAGATGGGCTAGCAAGAGTTTTATGGAACTTTTCTTATAACCATCTTTTCCATTGCGGGGGCGGGGGCGGGGATAATTTAATTCTAACACATCAACTAGCTCAGGTGGAGTGTGTCCTCACAAAATGAAAGTGAGTTCAGTGCCCATAAGTGAAACAGATAATCCTGGGTTCACAGCAGAATTCAGATCGCTGGGCCTCTGTCTGCACCCCCCTCCTTTGTGGAGAAATGCTGCCAGATGGAACCCTAATAACTCCCATTGTGGCTGCACGGCTCCTATCCCATCACCATGAGAGTTGCTTGGTAAAGATGGTTATGCTGGCTAAAACTGGGTCCCATCCAGGTTCTCTCCAGCATTTTACCCTTTCCCACCTGATCTTTAATTCTTTCATCCCTGCCACTTCGCATGGTGCACAGGGTATATACTGTTGGGTGTCAGTGAATAGCCAGAGACAGATAACAGGCAAGAGTGGAAAGGACCTCGTTACGAATATGTGCCAGTTCGGACGGGCTGACTTACTGGGCAAAAGAAACTCCCCTTTGCCATCTATTTCCTTCAAAACATTTTGAAAAACCAGCCTCTGCTGTTTGTGGAATCCTTGGACATCAATCCATCCATTGAGTGAGGAAATAAGGCAATAACTCAACAATAAATCATTTTGGATTTCACACATGCACAGACCTTTTGAAACATCAGTGACAAGAAATGTTTAGACCTGGCTCCAATAGTTTTGCATACAAAACAAAGAATGTCTTTAGACTGATGCATTGCTCACTCTGGTGCCCAAATCGTGGGCCTCTTTTCATCCCTTTGTTGTTGTTGGTGGGGTGGTGTGTGTGGAGTGTGTGTGTGTGTGTGTGTGTAATGCACAGCACGGGAACTGTGTGTGCATGCGCGCATGTGTGGTGTGCAGGGGAGGGGGTGTGCTGTCAGGGGGAGCCTAACACACATTTCTGTCATCACAGACGGTGGGCAAACAGCTGTCTCCACAGCTGAGGCCACTGGCACTGCCGGCGCTGCCCCAGTAACTCCAGAGCATGCCGGCTGGTCCCTGGATGGCACAGGCTCTGCGCGGGCAGCAGAGCGCTGAGCTCCAGGCTGAGCAGGGGGGGACTTTGCCACCAGACACATTAAGCATGTGAAATGGGCCCTCATGAATAATTTATCCTAGTGTCCTACGAAACAAAGAAATGATTATGTTTGCTGGTAGATAACAGTGTTGTGGCATTTGTAAATCTTTCTGAATTTGGGGTTGATCATGTTTCTCATGTTGGTGGAGAAATTGTTTTTTTTTTTTCTAAAACAAAAAGTTGGGAGTTTAATACAGTAATCTTACAGTGAAGGTCTTCCATGAACATTGAGTGGGTTGTACTAATTTGGCTCATGATTTAGGAATCTAAAACAAGTCTCCTTCGGTGAAAAGGGATGATAAAATGGTTTTACTGCCATAAACTACAGCAGGATACCCGATTCTCGAGATTATTTTATTTTTTTTCCTTGGTAGGCACCCAGCCCACTTTTGCTAATGCAAGTTTCATTGCTGTGGATGAGAAAATAGTGGTGTGTCCAGCAAAGCACCACAGCATCCGGAGGACCCGTGCTTCACTTTCACTAAAATATTAGTACAAAAAAATGATACTTTGGTGAATTGAGCCTTAAATTGCTTTAGTGACAGTTAAATACCCACTAATTTAACACCACTTAAATTGGTAATAAAATGACCCCCGACTGAGTTAAGCCACCATCCTATCCCTGTATAATAGCTTTAGACCTAATGCCAGAGGTCTCTAAAGCTGCCTGATAGAGGTTATATATTTGCCTAATGAATATTTTTAGAGTGTTGCATAAAGTAGCTAGCTATCCAAACTTTCATGATTATTGTTTATAATTACCATCTGTGCATTCATTTCATTTATTTTTTAATATCCTTGAGAAAAAAAGGAAAATAGTTTAATAGTTCTTCATTATCTTTGAAATGACAACCTGGCAAAACAAATCATGGTGATGTTGTCTGTCATCTTTCTAATAATTATCTCAAATCCGTGGTATCTTATTCACTCATGTTTCCTCCATACACGTATGTGCATGTGTGCCTCTGTGTGTGTGTGTGTGTGTGTGTGTGTGTAGTAGTGTCTCCTTTCTCCTGAGCTTGAGGGTTGCCCATGAAATATTGTGTATCCACAAACTTCCCACAGTCTGATATGTTTGGCAGGGAGAGTCAGAAAGAAGGCACATTGATTTAACAGAAAGGAGAAAAAAAATAAGCAAAAACAAAATATGGGTTTGCCAATTATATGTTGCAGTAAAAATACAATTCCTTTTGCTTTCAGGTGAAGAAGATAGCAGTAGGGATATGAACTGGTAGGTGGCAAAACTTCTGGTAAAAAAGAATAGTGAGTACTTTGCAATCAGTGTGTCTTTCGTCTTTTGTTGTTGTTCCCATTGTTTCTCAAGCTCTGATGATGTACAGTAGACATACCATATAGACAGGTCATGATTGCCTTCTTTACTTTGTACAGGATTGAGATAGTAAATAAAATTACAATGGCACCTGAAGTGCTGCTTAGTATTTCCAGTGGAGACAATAACTAAACAAGTGGTAACAATGTTCTGGGACCAGCAAGGTAATTGTCAGAAGCTGGTTTTGTTCCTAAGGGGAACAAAATTTGAACAAAGCCTTAAAGAAAAGAGGAACTAAAGTCTTCTTCCTGCGTTCCTCACTTCCATCTGCCACTAACTTGTACACCTTCAGTATTGTCCTGTAGAAGTTGATAATGGTCTCCTCTCCCAAAACTTGACACTTTTTGGGGTTCCATTAGTTATTGAAAGTACTTGAATGGCTATGATTTTCTGCAGTATCATCACTTGTACTTAACAATATTTTGGTTTTAGTACATTAAAGCATTCCTTATGGGAATAACAGACAAATTCGTGTTTCAAATATTCTATGTTACTCTCTTTAAATACCTGGAAACTATAAGGAAATTTGAAGAAAGTATTTAAAGATGTGTTTTATGGTAAAACAAATAATAATCAAAGAGAAGAAGCAGCAGGAAATCAATCAAAAACTTATGAAATTTATAGTATTTTTAAAGTTAAAAAAACTCAAGATATTTGGATCTGAGACCTTTGGACTTGCATCAGGCCTCTGCTACATTTGTGCTATAATAGACATTTAACCCCCTGATATTATTCTTCATCAGTAAAATGGGGACAAAAATACATAACCCAGAATATTTTTTTAAACATCTGAGCTATTGATCTAATACA